AAGGGGCTTCTGTTGTTTATAACCACAAAAAGTAGCATTCAGATTCTCAACTCTCCCCAGATTGTGTGCAGTGCAGGACCTCTGAAGGCAGAAAACCGTTTCTTTGATTTTTAGGGCATCTGGGAACTTGATGTAAGATTGAATAAATTGAATGTTCTGACTTCATTTACTTCTTGCAGTGATTCTATAAAGGTGCTTGGTAATATTTCCCAAGTTTTGTTCAGGTTATTCTGATATAAAGATAGCAATAACATTTGTAAATTTACTCCTGAAAGTTTTACTCTGTGGAAAAATTTACCATCTACTGTGCACTGTTAATGCCCCAAAAAGGCTGTCAGTCTTCCTTTAAACATGTGGTTGTATTCTGTGCAATTACTGTTTCCCCCTTGGTGTTTCCATTCCATGTGTACAATTACACGATTCCTTCAGTGGCAAACCTCATTTTGTACTGCAGGGGTTTTTTTTCATTAGACCTAGAAAGCCAATATACATGTAAGATGAAATATGTGTGCATCTGTACACTGCTAGCTCCTGAAGTTCCAGTTGGAAAGCTTATACCCCTGCTGCAGATCTTGAAAAAGCGATAATGGTGTGCGAGCGGTCCGTTCAAACCACTGTACCTTAGAACACCTGAAAAATCCTTGTAACTGGTGATATTTAGATATAAGGTATTAATATGATATTGAGAAATTATGTAGGCTGATTTTTTAAACCCGATGCTTGAATTTAGACCTGTCAGGCAGAAAAATTTCATTTCTTTTTCCAAAGTGAAAATTGCTAAGACAGAGAAAACATGAAATAACACGTGAAAGAAGTTGCAGTTGAGTTATCAGAGTCGAACTGTACTTCCATATGTAATGAAAAGATTTTTCTGCTAGAACTGTGTATTGGCTCTCAAAAGACTCAGCGTGGGGGTCATCCACTGTTTGCTTTCCCCATTCTCAGCCACAGTGAGCAAGCTGCATTGGCTCTGCACTATTCCTGGCCACTGCTGACCAGGTAGTTTTAAAACACACTATAAGAAATTAAGTCAGTCCTTTTTCTTACTTTTTCTAGTAGTATTTAAATGCCTGAAAAAATGCTAAATGTCCACATTCTCATTTCATATATACCTGCTTTTAAAGGGACTGAGATATACAGTCAGACCTTTTTGACTTTGTGTGACAAATTTAAATAAATTTTATTGATTTTAATTAATATTTTTAATGGAGCTTAGAACACTTAAGAAATTGAGTTTGCATAAATTCAAATAATGTTCTTACAAGCCTCACCAATTTTTTTATTATCCACGCATTTCCAAATCAACAACAACATCCAACATTTGGATATTTATGTACTAGTTTGAAATCAGCTTTTGAATCGAGAAGGGTTGGTTTTATACTTCTGGCAGCCATTTTATCTGAGCCTTGCTTTGGAATAGACAGTTTATTTGATTCTAATTGGAAATGAGTAAGATGGGGGTGTGTGCAATTTGGTGTTGAGAAAACTGGGGTTTACTTTCAGCTTGTCTCAGATATGCTATGTCTAGTCACTTCTGTCACGCTTCTGCCCCTCCCCTCTTCTGTAACTTGGCAATAGCAATACCTATCTCACAAGGTTAATGTAAAGGATTAATTCACCATCATACCTTATAGCAAACGGCTGTAATCTATTCAGCCAATGCCTACAGGATAAAAACATATTCACATACTTTATTTTGCTGAAGCTTTCCCACACAATGCCAAGCTATTTATTGATTATTCCCTTCCCTGTTCAGCGGGAGGAAATGCACGTGGGCCAGGACAAGTCCCTGGGTCAGCAGGGGCTGGACCCAGCTGCCTGCCCAGCCGTCCTGCCGAGGGGTTTGTGCTTGGGGCTGAATGGGAGGCAACAGCGCAGGCTTACTGTCACCAAGGCTGGACCCTGCTCTGGGAGGAGCGTGGCCAGCAGACTGAGGGAGGTTGCTCTGTCCATCACCCGTAACCAATTTCGGGATTCAGGGAGGCGATGAGAGTGCGTCAGTGGGCTACCAAGATGGTGGTGGCCTGGGCCCATGGCTGCAAGGAAATGGGGAGCAGAGCTTGTTAGCCTGGATAGGATGGTGGCCACCAGCACCCATGGAAAGGCAAGCTAGAAAAGCTCCTTCCAACCAAATACCTGTGGCTTAGCCTCAGAAGAAAACTGCAGCACATACATCAATGTATGCATAGATAACGTCATGTATAGTACATCAAAATGCTGATGAACTGTGGTTATCTTAGCTATCTTGCAGGTCATGTCTCAGTTTGTGTTGTTTTTCATGTGTGTTTCTGAGAATGGCATTTTCTGTTAGTATCTGTACATTCTCCTACGCTTTTCAATACTCAACAATATAAATAATTCAAGAATATAGTAAATATTCTAGAGCATTGTGCATGGGACAAGTTTCTGTTGTTTACCTTCTTAGATAACAACCTGTCAGCAAACTAGTGAGTGTAATAGGTTGGCTTTCTTTAGCTGAACCCTGTTGTATTTATTATCCAAATCCAAATTATTAATACCATCATCAAAAGTAAGGTTCCTTTTTCCATTGCTGTAAATGTTAAATGTCTTCCAGCTATTCTTATATTTCTTTCATAACCAGCTCACTGGCTTAAAGTTAGAGCAGATTTCTTCGCTATAGTGAACGGTATGAAGTTGCAAAGTTTGGCTCTTTCTTCAACAGTTTCTTATTTTAAAGTTTACAACTGTGGGGTTTTTTTCCCATGAGGTTAGTTTGTCTATTTCAAATCTAAGTATCTAATGTTCAAATGTAATTATGATTGTAACTATGCTTCCAGTGTAATGCAGTGCAAATCCCTTTCCTTTGTTCAGCTTATTGTCTCTGTTGACTTTGCTAAGCACTTACAGTAACAGCCAGCAAGATACACATATATATCTTTCTAGTTACAAGCGTCCCAAAACTTACAAGTGAAGCAAGACGTGCTGGATGTGCTTGAGTGATGACAAATGTATTAGCAAACTGTTAAACTACTTCCATAGAACTGTGTATCAATTGAGATAATCAAAATAAAGGAAAACATTCTATAAGAAGAAAGATTAAAGAAAAATTGGGTCTTCAAGCTTGGCAAAGGATGATAAACACGTTTGATATTGAACATGGTTTTTATCAGCTGTGAAAAAAGAATCCAGATTTCATCAAGTTACAAGTCTTTGGAAAAAAGTTAATTGCCATATGCTCAGGAAAGACATTTGCTTTCTTAACACCTACAGTTGGAGATTTTTTTCTCATTGAATACCCTCCATCCCCCTTAGGCCCCAAGACCTGACCTTTCCCCATGTGCAGCACCTCCTTGGCATGTGTGAGATGGTTCCAGCTCCTACTGTTGAGCTGACTGCATACATGTCATGTTCCTGGTCCACAGGCCTAAGGGAAAGCCGTGCCTTCTTTATACTGATTATTTCGTATAATTGCCTTAGGCCAATTGGAAGCTGAGCAACAGATTTAAGTACTGAATGTGGAATCAGTAGTAGCTCTCTGTCTGGTCAAGGAGCTTGAAGCTCTTGTTTTTATGCATTGCCTGGTTCAATGCAACTTAGAATAAAGTGAGTCATGTACAAGCTCCTTCAGTATTGACTGATCATGGGATGCTGTGGAAGGAGACTGTTTTTCTGTGTTTTCTGTGTTTTCAGTGTTCTCCGTCTGCTTTTATACAGAGTAAAGAGGAAAGCTATCTCTCTGGAATTCAGAAAGGAAAAAATCCTAGGGCAGATGAGGGAAGAGACTCTAAAAAGTCTGAGATGAAAACTTGATTAGACCATGAAATGGGGCCTGGCTAAAAAACAAAAAGGCAGGTCTATGAGGCAGGGATTGAATGAGATTTTCTTGACAATCAGGGATTTCAGTGGGAACCCTGAGAGCTGGTGAGATGGTGAGGATAGAGGACAATGGATATCAACAAAAAGGGTTTTATGGTTCCCATGATCATCTTATAGTGGCCCTGCTGTGAGAAAAGGGATTGATAAGGAAAACCCTGGAATGAGCTACACAAAGTGTAGGAAAAAAAAAGTTAGGAGTGGAGTGAGGAGACACAGCTTGAATAAGACAAGCCACAGCAAGAGAGAAAAGTCTTCTCTTTTGAGAATCTTTTGAGAATTTAAGCCAATTGAATGCTGAAACTGGATTCTGTCTTTGCCACACAGCCCTTGTGCAATACAGTGAGTTTAAACTAAGATTGCGCAGGCGATCAGTAATTGTGTTTGTCACTCTTTGGACATGCAGTAAATTAATCCATAGTCTGATTTAAGAAATGTTCCTGAATGAGGATGAAAGTTGTGCTCTGAACATGCAAAGTGCTGTAGAGCACCTAATTAAATGAGTATCATATTGAGGATCTAAAATTAGTGTAGATTTTTATTTAATAACTTGATTCAGTTCTTTTTGTCCAGAAAGCAATCATAGTCTTTCCTCTTTAGAGTCATGTTGTGAGGAAGTCTAATGTATGTACAGATACAGAGGGTCTAGTAATCCCAGTACATTGGTGTATTTGGGTCTGGAGGGAAAGGGAGAGTGCTTATTTTCAGTACTAGAACAATAGATTAGTTGCAAGAAAAGCCTGATAAGTTTGGAGACAAACTGATAGCAGCTTCCTCAGAACTAAAACAGTTTTTGCCCTGCAGGCTTCTCTTTTTTTATTCAACTGTATCAGCTAATCTAATAAAACATACGATTGTCTTCTACAAACGACTTGGTTATATCCGTTGACCTGTGACAACACTACTCTGTATGTGTGTATGTGCACTGTATATTTGAAACAATAGATTAAGTGCAAAACTGTGAATTACAAAGGAACATTACCTGGAGACAGTATTTCATTTCAGAAGGGTATGTGTTTCTGCATATATATACACACACGCTATACTACACTCCTGTTAAACAAGTCATAATGCAGTGAAATTTGAACATATTTTTATGCATAGTTGATGAAAGGGGGGAAAAAAAAAGAATTTTTAAATGATCTTTTGCTTTCACTTCAGTGACCAAGGAGTTTATGTCAGTGATGGAAGATGATGTTATGGTTTGATTTGGACTATTAATTACTATGTCAGCTGGATTCAGAATGATTAAATCTTCTGTTTGCATCCCTCACTGAAGGCTTTTTCAAATGGAACAGCTGAGGCTCTATTTTGTAGAATTTGGTTCTGGGATAATTTGGGCTTTGTTGTCAGTAGATGCTTGGTGTCTTAAGTACCAGTAGAGGGAGGCAGTCCTTATATACACGTTTTGATAATTTCCTTTTGGCTATCTTTGGGCTTCTGTGTGCGCAGTTGCAGTGGGTTTGGATGGCCTTATGAAGGCACGAATGCAGACGGAGAAGTTTTCAACTCTTGTTTCTTGAGTTCTGCTATGGGGAACCAGTTACCTGAGATTGGGTGCTGCAGTCTTCAGTTTGTTTGTTGGATCATTGCTTTGTTGGCTGTGTTGGTCTCGTGTTAGATCTTTTGTTATTTTTGCCACATATTTTTGCTTCTCTGTAAGTTAAAAAGCTTTTAAAACCAAAAAACATAAGTATTAGACTCAGATATACCTGAAGTCACCATTTGTAGTCATCATTCCAGTATCCACATGTGAAAATAGCTATCTTACTAAAAGTCAAACATAAAAGCCGAAAGTTGGGCATATTGGGTTGTTCAGCTGTGTTCTTCAAATACAGCACCAGACTGAGGGTGGGTGAAGCTGCAGTGAATTGCTGTCTCCTGCATCTCCTGTTTGCAGCATCAGAGTTGTACACAACTTTGCTTAGCCTCTGATCTAGTAAGAAGTCTTTTGAATGTCTAACTAAATACGTGTTGCCAAAGAGTAATGAGATCTCCATCAGTATTAGATTAAAAGCCTAATCATACGCAAGCTAAGACCCTTGTTTGAAAGGGGGGGCTGAGTTTCCAGACAAGTTTGCTCCACTGTTGCACATAACTCAGCTGGACTGTGGAAGCTGCCAGCTGCCACGAGTAGAGAAGTGAAGCAAGTAGCCTGGCTGGGATGACAAGCTGCAACAGGTCTTCCTCTGTAACATCCCCAGTCTGACAGCCTGATAGGATTTCGGGGGGAGGGAGGCAGCTACTCCACACCATTAGTCTGTGCCTAGGAAGCCTCCCTTGCTTAGCCAGGGTCTTTGAGGGACAGACAATTTGACTGATATTGTGAGCTATTTGTCAAAAGGAAAGCTGACGCACTGATACTAGGTGTGACTTCCCTTTAGGCAGAAGTCGCATTATGAAATACTTGTTATTTTATAACAAGTGACATTTTACAGTGGTCTCGCCTGTCCTCTAACATTACAGACCTTTTTTTTTTTTTTTTGTCTGGCAGTAGGGCTGGATTCTTTTGCAAAAATGTGTGTCTTCTGAAGGTATTTGGTAAGGGAAAATACTGGCTTCTGTTGGAATTTAGTGTTCGTTTTTAAGCTGGCCAGCCAGTACATGGTTTATGTGTATTCACAAACAGATATTTCACAAGTATATGCTTTGCATTTGGTAAAGTTTATGTATTTCAAATGGCTGAGAAGGAGGTACTAACGGAGTACAAATTTCCCAGGGGAACCGCATACTAGGACTGAGGCTCTTGTAGAACATTTAGGGTTATTTTCTCCATCCCACAGTACTGATACTGTCATGCAATACAAATCCAGCATTTGGTGAACTGTATATTTTTCAAACAAAAAATGCCTAATCTGAAACAGGAATCGTCTGAACATTGTATTTTCAAATGTTTCCTTAGGGAATATTACATCACCATGGTGAAATGGGTAAGCAACACCAAAGCTGTGGTGAGATGGTTAAACAGACCTCAGAATATCTCCATCCTTACAGTTTGTGAAACCACAACTGGGGCTTGCAGCAGGGTAAGTCGGATTTTTTCCTAAGCTCCCTTTTCAAGGTTTCTTCCTGCATTTTGTTTTCATATTCAGAAAAAGATTTTCAGAAATCAGTTTGCAGATGCAGTAGTTGCAAGCTGAATATAATTAGTCAACAGGGAGGAAATAGATGTGAGAAAATTCCGAATCTGGTTAAATGATTTCATGCAATTAGCAACTTTGAGTGACATTTTCAGAATTACTAAGCTTTGTTCATTCATTAACTTCAGTGGAAAATGCAGTTGCTGAACATCGTGTACTTTGGATATAGCTAGCACAGTGACAAGCTTGTCTTCCATCAGATATTTTCAGCTGCCTGGTTTCTCCTCTCTCCCCCTACAGAGTTTCATTTCAGATCTTTCTGTCTCTCACAGCTTACATACGTTTAAGGAGAAGGTGTAAAATTCTGATAATTCCTGCAAATTCGATAGCAGAATTAAATAACATTAGAAAAAAATAGAATTGAAAGGCCACAGGGATATTTCATTTTGGATGTAAGTCAAGCTGAAATACATTTTTCTATTTGAATCCAGCCACATCCCATCCCTTGACCCAGACTTTGACTTCTGACACTCCTGCGTTACATCTCTCAGTTTTCACAGTCAGTCTTGCATCTTGAATGCAGTTGGCAACTTTCCCTTTTGAGTCACAATCTCTTCCCAGAACCAGCTAAAGGGATAAATATTTTCTATACGTGCTAATACCGGTACCAACAGATGCTTCGAAGGAGAGGGTGTAATTTGTCAGTGTAAATGGTTATGAGTGATTAATGTAGGTCTAGGTTTAGCCTCTGAGTCAAAAGGCTCCCATCAGTGCCTGCCACTGAAGTCGGTCATGTTAAAGTCTTAGGGATTACTTCCGAGCTTGTCTGCTTCTTTTGCTACATGGTGCAGGTTGCGTTTCCTGGCTCAGAAACTGTGAATAAGTCCCCAGACTATGGATTAAGATTGCGAACATGGAGTTATGTTGATTGGGTTGCTCTTTACCTGGTTCCTGCAAGCCTTGTGCTCTTTTATTAAGAAAGTCGGTCGGGAACCACTGTGAGCAGTCACTTCTGAACGGACACACTTGTGTGCTCCAAGGTCAATTGGACTTGCCTGAAGTAGGTGTCCAGGGAGCTGTAAACCGGGACATAATGTAAGAGAGAGAGACTGAGAAGTCCCGCTCCAGAAGAAATAAAGTGCAGCAAAGGACCTTGTAGGTGGGTGAGGAAGGGTAGCGATGCAGTGTCGCCGTAGTGAGCACAGCTCAGACAGGACTCATGCTTGTGACCCTGGACAGCTCCTCCAGTGGGATAAGGTGGTGCTCTTGAATTCAGTAACGGGTGAGGAAAGGCCGTATTGTGAGAATTTAACATTGTATCAGACCATTTGATTTCAACTGTAAACCTATCAGGTTTGGGGGTTTTTTTTAGCATTTTACACATGTTCTGAATTCCAAAAAGTACTGTATAAAACCAGCTGCTATGGTAGGAACAAATTTTTCATTTTTCACGCCATATATGTACAGATGCTTCTATAGCTAATAAATTTTCATTACTTCAGTGTGACTGTGGCAGTTTACAACAGTTGACATATATTCTATATTTTTTCCAACAATGTGTCCATGGTACTTGGGTGTTTTTTTAGATGGCTTGATGTGAACTATGAGTGTGACCAATAAAAACCAATCATTTCCATTTATTCTTTTTCTCTTCACTAATGCCACACTACAACCCATTAAAGCAAGGGACTGTGATTTGAAAAGGTCTCACACTTTAAGCTTGATCCTGGCTGTTTGCCCAGTGTTGATGAAGGACCTAAAATATCCAGTTGTCAGATGATGCCTAGAGGTAAAAAACAAATAGAACTGCCTGTGTAAAGCTTCTTGATAGCTAATCAGAAAGGACTGAAAAAGTCATTCTTAGGTCCCCTGTGGTGTTCTACCAAAAACTCTGAATAAAGCAGCTGACTTTGTAATTAAATTATCATTTGTTTCAATGTAAGTGCCAGTGAAGAGATGTGAAGATTGTAACACAGTAGAAAAAAAACACAAAATAGCTAAAGACATTTGCTGAATGTGGGGAATATTTTTGATATAGCTATTCCATAAACACAATTTTTTCTTTTTTAGAAATATGAAATGCAGTCAGACTTGTGGCTTCCTAAACAGGTATAGTATAAATGTTATTTCTGGGTGTATAATGTGTAATTGCTTCATTGTCATTTTTATTTAATTGTAAGTTATTTTATAAGCTATTAAAATCAATCCCTTTTAAAATTGAATACTTCTCAGGATCCTGAATTAATTTAACAGCTGAGGATTATAGCAGTGTCTGTGTAAACTTTCAGATGGCAGCTTGTTTCTCTGGTAGCAGAATTCCTGTCACAGCATCACATAGAGGACATTTCACTATCTAGCTGACCATGTCAGTGGTGGAAAGAGATATGCACTTCCAGCAAGCAGTTCAGCCCTTTGAACTGAGACACCTGTCTGGGTTTTGGAGGCAATGTTCCCTTCAGTTTCCAATCTCTGCATTCAGTTAAGTAAGCACTTAGATGACCAGCTGATTAACTACCTAACTCTTGGGTGGTTAAAGATAGATCAGACAAATCCCATTCCAAGCATGTCCTATATACTGTGCTGATTTTTTCTGTTTAAATAATAACCTCACCAAATTAAAGCCAAACGAGTTCAAAGATTAGAGGTCATACAGGCTATAATTGGAATGCATAAGAATATTTCTAAATTCATACCCAGCACAGTATGTTGAACTAATATGTCAGCAAATGATTCCGTTTTCATAGCTTCAGAAGAGCTATCCAATAAATGGATGAAACACATTCTATTTAAAATACATTTCAGGCTTCATTTTGCAATGTGCAAATGAGAAATCATTTTTAAAAATCTATGCTTTATAGCAAGCCGTTTTCTGTTAATATTTCTGTGTAAAGTTAGACATGGAGACATGGTATCACATCAGGCTACAATTTATCGTAAGACCTTGTTTCAGGGTATCAGTTCAATGTGCTTATTTTTTCCATACAACTTTATCAAAATCTGTGGATGTTAAGCGTGTACTTAGTAATGTTTTGCTGAGTCCAGACCATGGAAACATTTGTTCTCCTCATCACTAGTAGGACTTATCTGTGTCACTACTTGTATGTCTGTAAAGGAATGTATCCTGGAAAGTCCTGCTGCATTAGGGATCAGACTACCAGACTTTTCATTGGGAGGGAGAGTTTTGCAAGGGCTGTAACCCGTGCTTTAGGAAAAGATTGCACAATGGTAACTACTAGCATGAACTACATTTACCTTTAGCCACCACATTTTTGTTATTCTTAGCAGAATATATTTAAAATCTAAGGATTTTTCTCCAGTTATCTTATGAGCACAGCAACTACCAAAACCAAGGAGACAAAAAACCTAAACTGATGTTTTGTTAAGAAGTTTAGTGGGAAGTGTGACAAACTAACACAATCTTGCATTTATAGAACGAAGAACCAGTTTTCTCCAAGGACGGCAGTAAGTTCTTCATGACTGTCCCAGTGAAGCAGGGAGGCCGGGGCGAATTTCACCACATCGCCATGTTTATTGTTCAGGTAAGGTTTTGGTTTAGGCTATTTTTAATATCCTAGTGGTCATCTAGGACTTTTACTGAGGACACATGGCCCAAGCAAAGGCTTGCACTTTAATAGAGTCTGAACACTTGTGTCGTGGTCATTTGTCCTGTCTAGGTTGTCACTTGGTGCAGAGGGACATATTTATAACTTCTTGCAGAATAAGTGGAGCTCTCTCTTCTTAGACCTCTGCTGTGGCGGCACATAAGGTCTGTAAATGAAAGGTACTTCCAAAGTACTCTCTCTGGGAGATTTCATGTTCTCTTTGTACCTCTATAGACAAGCAGAGATGTTTTCTTGTTAAACCCTTCTGTCAATAATAACATTCTATAGCCTTAGAAATTCAAGAGACCTGTAGAAACGCTCATTTTACCCTCTTTATATACACTATCTATGTGTAAGTATAATTTTAAATGTCAATTTAGAATATTCATAATTCTGGTCTTACATGTGGCAGTAAAGGGAGGCAATACCCAAAACTTAAAATTTTGTGAAAATTAGGACTCTTTTATTACCCTTTGCAGCATTTTCCAGTGGCTTCCATTTCCCAGGGTCATTGCTTTTTCCAAAGAAGAATCTGAAAGAAGATAAATTTGTACTATGACTTTGAAGGTCACCAGTATGAAGTTGTGATGAACTAATAAAGGAAATTATGCCCTGGAACGGAGCACTGCAAGGCATCTATTTAAATCAGCAGAGCATTAATCCAGGTAGTTTAGCAGAGCCATATGACATAGGAGAGATTATCAAGGTACCCAAAACATCAAAATAGCAGACTTGGCACCAGGGAACTCTATTATCTCCCTTTATGACAGTGTTCTGGTATGAACATTATTAAGTCTGAAATATGTTCACGGTGTACTGCAGACAGAAAAAGAGCAAAAGAACTTTAATGAAAATTTAACCTGAAGAAGCAACAAGAAGATACTAATTCACTAGAGTAAATGTGTCAAGAAAGAATCAGACAAGAAAAAAGGGATCAAAGATATGTCAAATTCTATCTTCTAAAGAAAACAGTAACTCAGATGACGATCTGGTAAAGGTGTATTAATATAATAACCACACAGAAATTCACACCGAAACAAAAACATTTAGTCAATCAAGTCTTAGTTTGGTTTCTTTCCCAATATGAATAAGTATCTTTAAAATACATGAAATAATGATGATGTAGACCTGAAAATTAACGTGGAGCATTCCCAAGGATGTTGCAGATACAATCAAATTTGCCTTAAGCCTGTAGGCTCTGACATTTTTCAATACTAAAGAGCCCAGGAAAATTGATCATAATTCAGGAAAATATTAAGCAAAAGATGGAGCCCACTCCTATTCAATAAGATAATTAAATATATACCTACTTTCAAATACATGTTTTAATCCCACCAGAACAATGTTTAAAGTCAAGCTTACAGTTAAGAGTTTAGAGTTCTATCCCTTTTAGGCAGAATTAGAGCCCTGGGTACTGTGCAGCTCCAAAAATCAAAAATACTTCTATTTTGACCACCATCACCATGAATAAACAAGTCCGAATGGTATCACCAATGACAAATTTGCCTTTAAGTATATGGAGGCTCCTGAGAAGAAGAGGAAATGTGATACCCCATGTATCAACCATTATTCATCAATAAGCAACATACTGTGTGGTAATGGGGCTGATACAGAGCAATAAAGGACAGGAAATGTGTTTATATGATGTGTTTTACACACTGCATTAATCTGATTGTCCATTATTTCTAAAGCAAACATGGAGGCATAAAAATTATATTAACCGTTGCACATAAAGTCTTTTGTCACATCAGATGTTTGTCACACCTTGTGAGAGCCACAGCAGCATAACAGGTGCCCTGCAGAATTTAAAGCAGTTGCCAGGTCGCCGGTACCGAGATGATCACACTTTTTTTGTGATGGAGCTTGGATAACGTTGAAATTTAACATTCAGACTCTTGTTACTTCTCTGTACTACTCAGTATAGACATCAGCTCATTAACAGCAATCAGCCTCCAAATGCAGGAAAGTTAAAACACAGAACCAACGTGAACATACAGTGACAAAAGTAAATTTTAATGGCTCGCTTTAGATTAATTTAATCGCTGAGGCTTATTTGTCAATCTTACAAGTGCTGCCAAATTATGGTCTTTCTTGGGCTGCATTTCTTTCACTTTATTTTAGAAAAGCATGTGTCAGTGATATAATCAAAGCAGGTTAACAGAAGCATCTAATTAAATCTTCTTGCAAGGGGAGGTTACTGTTTAAAAGGTTACTGTCTATCATATATTATTTACTGTCTGAATGTAGAAGGCTAGATGACTGTTTTATTGTTTTCAAATGCTTTTAGTAACATGAAATATTTAAAAGAAACTAATCTCAAAATGGATTGAATTGTGTTATGTATCTAGAAATATCTTACTTGGGGTTTTGCAACTCTAGAAAGTCTCTTTTTTCCAACCACAGAATAAGAATTATAAAGTAACTTTAATGGATCAAGGCAAGAACTTCCTGCAAGCTTCATAAATTATGTATTATGGCTGTAACCTTGAAAAATAACCATGTTTATTAACGCTTGGCTGGGCTTTTTATTGCTGTTTCTTGTTAGATTCTGTGATCTCAATATTTAAATATCTCTTCCAATAGTTGCAACTTCTGTCTCTCTGGAGAAGAAATAGTCACTTATAATAAATCACTAATTTGTATTTTAATCATTCCTGGAGACAGCACTGAATATGAGAACCTTCCTGAACAAGGGAACCGTCATCATAAACATATGTATAGCACCTAGCACAGCGTCCTGATTTCAGTTGGTACTTGCAAGACTTGTCACAGGGTTGCTACATCGTTCTTTCTTTGTGGATCTGTTAGAAAACAGATCAGTTCTAAGGGACTTATTTCTGCCTTGCCATTTCCAGACACATCTCATAGGTGTCCTTCAGCATGTTCTGCTTTCTAGTTATTGCTGCTGTTGATGTAGAGCTCAGAGTTTACAAGGTACAGTTCAGAAATACAGGGATTAAAAAAAAACCTCTTTGCCTTTATGACTTTTTGTAGGCCACATAACCACTGAGGCCGCTGTGATTAGGTATGGACTGGTGCTCCGGATTCACAGGGCGCAAGGCCAGAAAGCGCCATTAGATCCTCCTTCTCACCTCCTTTGTAACTCCAGCTGCTCACTTTCAGAATTTATATATCCAGGCCAAGCATCATAGCCCTAGTGGAGAAAAAAACGCTCTTCAAGTATGTTCATGGTTGAAGTTTTAATCTTCAGAAGCCTAAGCAAGAATTTTACCTTTTGCAGTAGGAAGCACTCTCGAATGAGCTTCTTGCTCTTCAGGTTTCATTGGTTTTAACCTGTGTCTGATGAGGAGTCTGCTGCAGCTTCCAGCCAGAGTTTGGTTTTATCTCAAGGTAGATATGTACTGCATCCTGACGTTTCTGAATTCAGTTCCTGGTGCATTGCCTGAGAAAGCTGTCATCGCTTTCTTTGAGAGAGGTTTTAAATTTCCCCTTGCAGTATTCTCCTAGGCTCACACTGGGGTAGAAACAATTTATGAGAGGGAGCAAGCGGTGGTCCCCAACTTGTAAGCATTTGGTTTAGTTGCCAAAATTTGGAGGCTGCTCTTAGACTCTCCTTATAGACCCTGGACAAAGAGAGGCTTCTCCAGAGTGCATGGTGGAACAGGGGCTTTAACTAGATTTAGATCCTGTGAACTTCCGTGTCTGTGCGGTGCATTTCTTGTAGAGGTTTGCCATCCTCCTCGGATGAGGGTGGTGTTGGTGTCCTGTCTTGGCACAGCAGCTTTGCAGTAATCTTGGCTCAGTACAAGCATGTGATAAACGTGAAAGCTTGGTGAGCACACTCTGGTGCAGAGTTTTGGTTACAGGGCTCTGAGTTAGATTCCCCTGTTATGCCCCTGTAAAAGAAACGAAACACTAAGAGAAACAAAACTTGAAGTATAGGACTTGTATTGTGTATTGGCACGTGGGCAACTGAAAGGAAAATTGTGATGGAAACTGAGATGATTTTAACGACTTTGAAAAGTTTATATATGGAAGGGAAAGGGTGCTTGAAGTTCAGGCCTGTCAAAATGTGAGGTTTGTGATTTAAAGATGCTAGGTTGCACATTAAAGTTTAAAAAGATGTAATCAGTAATGACACGCAGACAATCCTGCTAGGCAAAGAAAAATGTAACAAGTAAGGTGGAAGTTAATATTTTTCCATCTCTCTCCAGGCTAAAAGTGAACAAATCAGTGTGAGACACCTGACGTCAGGAAACTGGGAAGTTATCAAAATCCTGGCATATGATGAAAATACTCAAAAGATGTAAGCACTATTCTCTTTGTTTATGAAAATATCTGAGTTATTAAAGTGGAATCCATTTAACTGGAAATAGTGTATCTAAAATTAAGTAACAATATTTCTTTCATTTTTGAGCATTACCATAAATTTTACACTCCCAAGTACATAAAATGCAGTTGTCAGACAATTTATCTGACAGTGTATTATTGCATGTGTTTTTATGCTGAGGGAAAAGGAGCATACTGTGACATCAGTTGACTCACTGTATTTTTTAAATAAAAAAAATCAACACACAATACAGCAATTTTGGTGGCCCTTTCCTGGATTTCAGAAAAGAAATCATAGCAAATTTTTACTTGATAAGATCCCCAAATCTTCAGTTTTCATGCTTACTTGGTTACTGCGTGAGATCTCTGGACTTTGTTTGGGGATCTGATTCAATCTCATAAATTCAAATTATTATCCAAGCCCCTGATTTTCACCCAGATCACTCAGAGAGAAATCTTTCCAAAGCCCATCTTAGCACTATATTGGGAAGGAAATGCAGCACATACTTGGTGATTTTTGGGAGCAGTAAAGATCTGACACAAAACATCTGAATGCTCCACATAACTTCAGTGGATCTTGGTTAGTCTTCATGTATATCTACATGTGACAAACATTAAATGGATGTGTCTAATTGGTATTTCAGCAAGGACCTTTTTGAGGCTGCAACAATGCCTATCATCTCTACTGGTACTGGAGAAACACCCTTTCTGACCAGTCTTTCCATGGGTTTTGAAAATATATCCGTGGAGAATTTCTTGATACTTCTCCAAGGTTCAGGTGTAAAAATGAGGTCTGGATGCACTCAGCCTGCAGAGAGGCGGCAGACTGCGTGTGGGTTGTCTCAGCCACTTGAGAGGACTTAGAATCATAGAATCCTTTAGGTTGGAAAAGACCTCTTACTCTCCTTCTGTAAACTGTAAAGCTGAAACTTTGTGGGGACCTCATCTGGGACACACCAAGGACTTGTCATGACATTCTTGCAGCAGCTCTACTAAGCCTCTTTCCACCCACGCAACCTTGTCTGTAAACCGTTGGCTAGGGTGCTAGCTTCTGTCTCTAGATAGAAGAAAAACTCATTCTACAGCTCAAAAAGGCTTTTGGGTATCATAAGGCCTATTGTAATTTATGATACAATTTCCTTGTGACCTTTTTCTACTCCTTGGATTTATATTGCAAACTCTTAGAGTAAAGGAGAAACTTTCTCTTCTGTATTTGTAATATACAGAAAGGGGTCCTGGTTGCTACTGAAGCTCCTGGGAATTACAGGAATTAAACAGAAACCATGAAATAATGTGTTCATCACTGTTATAATATGAAATCTTGTAGCATCTTAAGTAAGTACTCTGTATACTGGGTCTAAGTTTAATCATGGAGCTTAGGTTTACATATAAAGTATTTGATCTTCAGGTATATTTGGGAATTTTCAATTTTAAAAAATGTTATTTATGACATCTCTCACTTCTCTAAACACCACCCAAATCAGACAGTTTACCAAACTGAGTTTAACTTTGTTCGTCTTTTGGGCACAGTTATTTCTTAAGCACTGAAGAATCCCCAAGAGGAAGACAGCTACATAGGTAAGAAGTACATGCGGCTGTGTTAACAGCTTCTTCATCCCCGGCCATAAGTGCTATGATGATGTTCTGTGAGCTTAACTGCTGCTTTGGGGCTTGAGTAATCATTTATATTATTTAAAAATTAGTACATTTGAGCTGTAACAAGGAAAGAATCACGTTTTTTCAGAACTAAAAATGCCAATGATATTTTACATTTTTTAAAAAAAACGGAAAAGATTTTAATACAAAATATTTTTACCACTTACATTTTCACTAGTCCTTTATAAGCATCTAAAAACCTAACCCTAAATTCAAGCGTGTAGTATGAATATATTTTTAAAACTAGTGAAAATCTTCTAAATAAAAACAATATTTATGGGGTCTAATCATGCAATTTAAATGTGGGCAAAACACCTCCTTCTTACACAAAACTCAGTGCTTAAATCTGAAGTTAATGAGGCTTTTCATGGTGTCCTACTAACATTGTTACCCCGCGGCACTGCTAGTCATTGCTAGTCCTGCTTTGGGCAGGTTTTGGATCCTGTCCACATTCCCCAGTTTACAGAACAGTAGTCCACTGAGTCATCTGAAAAGAGTTTGCATCAGGCACAAAATAAGGCAGTGGTATTTCAGCAAGTTTAGGGACTGAAACAAATTTTATCACTCTGACGAGCTAATTTTTGGTTTATTGTATTTTATTGCAATGGAAAATGTTTCTGATCAATCTTTTCCCCAGTGTATCAACAGTGGGATCATTGAATCGTCAGTGTCTCTCATGCAACTTCTTGAAAGACCAGTGCACATACTTCAGTGCAAAGTTTAGCCCCATGAATAGGCACTTTTTACTGCACTGTAAAGGTAAGTCAAATGCACAGCGTGTAATAGTACTGTGTTTGCTTCTGAATTAATGTATTCCCTTAAGAAGTGCATTAGGCTGGAGTCTAACATTGAGCTCAGTAGTGGATTACTCAAAGTTCTGTACAGAGCTTATTGCAAGACTGTAAATAAAGATGTTCTGTATGAAAGCTAAATAATGTGATAGCAGAAAGCTGTTCCAATCCTAACCCTTCAGTCCTAGTAAAGGACATTGACTTAAATTTACTGTGAATAAAAATCCTTCACCAAAAAATGTGGAATGATGGTACTGTGGTTCATAACAGCTTCATTATAGTATGTATTAGGACTGATCTTGTGCAATTATGCCTAGTTAAAAAATGAGGGCCTGCTTTGTGTAACACTGTGTCTCTATGTGCTTATAAATTTATGCATAAGGTATATCTATACACACTCACCCACATATGTGTATATATATGTGTATGTGAGTATCTACCAAAAAACAGGTATGGTTTAATCCACAAAGACAGATCCTCCTTATCCATGGAACTGCAATAAATAACTTCTAGCTTTTTATTGTTAGCTGCATCCCAGTAGCACTAAATGGCAGCAGTTGGGTTCAGAGCTGGTATGTATAAACAGAATACTAGAACCATCCCACACTGATAAATTTATGACCTACACCCAGGAAATAAACACTGATAAATAAGTAACATTATAAAAACCGGTTCAGAAAAGCATTAGACAATCAATAATAAAGTTTATAGCTAGACGTGTTGACCTTGAAACTTGCAGTATTTTACAAACAATGTTCTCCCAGTATTTTTGCTCAGCTAGCATCAGATTGAAAACAGTAGAACACAATTCATCTGAAATACATGTGAATAGCCCATTGTATTTGCATGCATTTTTTCTATTTCTTTTGCAACTGTACATATTTTTTTTTCGCAAAAATAAAATATGTGCCTGCTTGAGAATTTAATCTATTCAAACAAACAAACTATGAATATATATTGGCTAAAATAAGGTTGTGGTTGTGGGTTTTCTTTGTGGAAGAGCACCTATAATACATAGCTTATTAAAAAAAAAAATATATACTGTTTGGTTTATAGATGGTTAAAGCTGTGGCAGAGGTTATAGAGCTAATCCTGAGGCCCTTATCTGAGTAAAAACTGCACTAGTAATGAGCTCCTCATGGTTTGAGCAGGGTTTTCCCTTGTGCTTGACATAGTACCTGTGGGGAAGGTCTCGGATTCCTGCAAGAAGAAGGGTTGGTTTATTGGGAAGAGTTTTTTGCCCTGAATCAGCAATGTGCTAGGGCCCAAAAACATAGCTTCTTGTTATTATTTTCGCAAAGTATATTCAGCCTGTAATTTTTAACATGTTCCTTTGATATAAAAATGTGGATGCCAGTAGGAGGTTGCACATGAAATTGCTCACAAGCTCATGACTTTCAGTGACTTTGGAGATGGCCATTCTCTGTTTGAGCTGGTAAGACTGTAGATCATCCTCCCAGGATTAAACCTACACTCCACTGAGTTGCAACCAGCAGAGTGCCCTGAGCTGCAGGTGTTGGGCAGGGATGATAAAACACCGTCATTAAGCTTTCCTACCTCTAACATTAATGTGTAGTTGTCAACCTGGGGTTATTCAGAGGTGCTTTCTTGTGTTTTGTCAGAGCTTGGCAATTATGGCAGCAGTGTGGTCCCCGTGTACTGCCACAGCTCTGCAAAAGGCCTGTGGTGGGGTGGGATATTTGACAGTATCAAAGTTGATGGCCACATCACCATAGAGCAGGTATTAAAACTCTTCTGCGGGGAGTTGCTTGTAAGCGTACAAGGTAAATTGCTTCAAGGAGACAGACGACACCACACCTACATGCACACACACTTGTTTTCCAACAACAAAAAGCCTGACTGAATTGTTACAAAAGCAATTTGCCCAGAAAAATCCTTGGGGGACTCTGGACTGGTTTGATCTATACAAGTTTCAACTCTTCCACCTCCTGTTTACCCGTAAGAACCTTTATTAGGATAGTTTTTCCTTCTTAGTTACCCTCAGCCAGATCTGTCTCAGTATACCAGCTATATCCATCTCCAGAGACTCTCCTGAGTGAGGAGTTATTTCTAGCCTGGTAGATGGAGGACCGGCTCTACAGCCTCTCAGTTTTGGCAAGCACATCCTTTACACTTACTTTCCACACTGCTTGTGGATTTTTCCTTTAGCACTTCATAAACACTAACAGATGTTAATCTCTCCACTCAAATAAGATACTTCACAAAGGGAGTAATTGTTTTTCCCATTTTATAGAGCAGGAAATAAGTTGTGGATTTAGTGTTCGTTATAGGAGGTCAATGGGAAATCCAAATGCTGTGCTTAGTTCTGATGAGCTGTGACACAAATCTGTCTTTCTCTTTTCTAGTCAGCTTTTTAATCTGCTGTAATCTCCCTTTTTCAAAATCTGTCATCATCCTTCCATCTTTTAGTATGACAAATAGAGCTGGCCTGGAAAATGGCAATGCTTTCACCTCCAAACATTGTCTTTCTTAAGTCGGAATTCAAAGCAAAACAACAAATTCAGAAAAGTAAAAAGAGCTGGAAAAACAAAACAAAGAGACAGCTGAAGAAATTATCTTTTGAAGAGCTAAGGCAGAAAGCTTTGATTTGTCAGCAATCTGCCTGTAAGATTTTTGTCAATAGTCTCCCTTGAGGCAGAGTATGAAACTGATAAAAATTTGCTGTGGAGGCTGTCAGAGGCTGTGAATGGCATCATGCTATTTATTTCAGGTATTTAAGTTTCCCTAGGCTCATGCCATAATTAATTGAGAAAGACAACCTCCTCAGGAGGACTCAGAACACATAAATTAAGCTCTGTCTCTGAAATGCTCTCAAAGGGAATCTTTTTTTCTCTAAAAAAGAGGAGTCTGAACTCCTAATTTCAGAGGGTCCATGCCTTCATTGCCATGGGGTCCTCAAGGACTTCAGCTTTTCTGCATCATCCTTCCTAGCCCAATAGTGACTGCCTGCATGTAATTCAAACTCTTGTCTCACCGAGATAAAACTAAGTTTCCCATGTACAAATTCTGTGTTGGGGGTGGGATCACAACATTTTCTTTTGCAAGTTTACACTAGTGGGAGTTCTCAGAGCAGGGGTAGCGATCTCAGCTATACTTCTGGGTATGCTGAATGTTTGGTCACCCCAGTTTCACATGCCATCTTGTGCATTTGCACAGTACTTACTAATGTGGAGGATTATTCTTGGTGCTTTTAGTTTCTCAGTGGTAGAGTAAAAATATAGCATCTGACATTACCATGAAATAAGATTAGATTACATTACACCTAGATTTAACCACGATGCTCTTGGTCTTCCAGAGCTGAGGTACCAAAGGAGCTTCTTAAATAGATAAGTATGTGAAATATGTGATAATTTTTCAACACCTCTGTAGTTTTTCCATAGAAAACTGAAGTGAATATTATCATTAATTCACTTCCCAGTCAACCTAAAGTTACTGTTTCTGAATGTCAAACTGCTATATTTTAGACAGTGCTGTTAAGTGCCTCTGTAATTTTTTTTATTCTTCACTTCTAGCTAGAACATGGAGATAGAAAAAAAAAGCTCCTTCTAGGTGCAGGGGTCTAGACTGCTTGCTGAACAGGCAGAAGGCAGTCTCCGTTTCACACTTTGTTGGTACCCTGGTCTAACCTGTGTCCTTCCCAAGAGACACCAGTGGAGATACTGCTGTGTTTGAAGGGAAGCATGTGTATGGGGCTTCCAGGATCTGGCCTTACGTGGTCACTAGTGTTCTCATTCTTTGTTGTTGACTGAAATACTGAGTACTAACTACCCTACACTTCCTCTGTTTTTCTTCTCTCCTCAAAACAGGGCCAGGTGTTCCAGTTGTTAGCGTGCACAGTACAAGTAATACTGCACGTGAGTATTCCTTAGAGAATAGGTATATTTTATTATCATCCTTGATTGTTGTGGGGAGCATGGGGGAGGGGTAAGGCAGTTACAAGTAAATGAAAACTAATGAGTGGCTCATTCATAAAAAGTTCTATTAATTACCTTTTAGCAACGTCCACATCTGCAAATGATAAGGAAAGAAGTTAATCAAATGCCTAAAACTTTCCCAGGCTTTTTGGATATGTTTTATGCTAAGTGCATATCATTCATCTTCTATTTATGCTTGAGTTAATTAGATGGCAGGTTGGTCTTCATCCATTTCACTTTCTATGTAAATTATGCTGCCATTACGATACACCTTCTGTATTTTTAGAGATGTTTTTAAAGTTACAATCCAATTATCTTGAAGTAAGGTACAGTCTTTGGACAATTAATCATAAAATCTGACCTACATACGATGAATTCAGTCCTTCTCTTACATTTCTCAAATCAGAGCAACTCCACTGACATTTTCAATGGTGGCAAATCCAAGAATAAAGGCTTCTTAGGAGGATATTCAATACCTGTAATTTTCAAGTTTTACTCATTGCTTTCCGTATATTGACACCAAATCTGCTGCTGTTTCCTGGCTGCTTTGAGGTGCTTTGTAATGGGAAGACTGTCCTTAAACAGCAGAATATTCCTCACTTAGGTATTTCTCTGGTGCAGTAGAGGTAACAATTCTTCTACCTCCAACTCCACTGTGGCTCCACGTAGCGTGAAGGCGTGGCTTAGAGGAAAGGGGCATCTTTCCATTCAAAACCACTAAACCAATCCTTACCTATTATAATTTCATTTGAAAGATTATCCCCAGAATTTTTCCCAGAATCCAAGAGTCCTGAACTGTATTGTCTGCATCCCTTTTGTCATGGGCCAGCCACTGTTCAGCCATAACAGTGGACCTAACATTGCATGTTGAAGTAGCATAGTGATCAATAGTATCATGCTATCAAGTGTTAATTAATGTCTGCACTTTTGCTTCCTTTTTTTTTTTTTTTTTTTTAATGTCTCTGTTGATAGTATTTGCAAAGCTGAGTGCCATAGGAGACCAAGGGAGGGGAGTTTTATCCAACTTGATAAGGGGTAGCTATTACTGCTCAAAGTAAAATCATTGACTTCTGTAGAGCTACTCAATTCTGTGAAGGTAGACTTTTGCTCTTTAATACTGGTATCTAAAATACTGTTGATAGTGAATTATTGTAAAAGAGATTTATGTACAGCATCTTAGGAAAACAAAGCAAGTCAGGATAGAGGGATGTTGTTTGTTGTAACAACAAGAAACTAAATAATAAGAGAGATAATTTACCATTAATGTTTCACTGCAAGATTAGATTATCCTCTTCAATTCATAAAAGAATGATTAAGGATTACTTCAATTATTCCATCCTCAGACTATAATTATACCATTTTGGTTGACTGCCCAGAACAAACATTCTCCTTAGATTATCTGTTTGGCCCTAAGTGGAGGGTTTATTGTTTAATAAAAAAAAAATCTACATTTTGGAAGCAAGATTGGTAATTTGAGTAAAAAAGAAAAGAAAAAAAAAGTACTAATTAATCATTCTGTTCTATGCAAAAGGATTGCTTCAAATCTGTCTGCAGCTTTAAACCAAACTGAAGTCTTGCTCCTGGTTGAAGTGCAGAAGACAGAGAAGGACATGCAGTGATCAAGTAGAGCTGTGCTGGCTGAATATTGACTTGGAATATGTAGCTTGAAAAGGATGCCTGCTTGAGGCTTAGGATATTGCCCAGCAGACTAGCCTTTCCCTGTAACAGCTGCTGTTAGTATTTGTCAGGGATGCTAGTATTCATGTTGTTCATCACCAATTTGATTTTTAGTGCATAACGAAAACAAAGCCAGAAAATGGAATAGATGTATATGTTTTGAATTAAGCTGATTGCTCAGTTCCTGAATTGCAAAGCAGTTGCATTATAAAAAAAAAAAAGTATTTACAGAAGGAATTCATTTACAAGATTTATCATTGCACATTCGTCTCTTTTTCTTTAATTTTTCTGAATCTTGATTTATCTCTGATGTGATGATTCTCCGTACCTTTCAACTTGCTTTTCCTTCCTGTTTCCTGCAGAGTTTTATATTTTGGAAAATAATGCTATGTTGAAAGAAGCTGTTTTTAAGAAAAAGAATTCCAGGACTGAAATTAAAATGCTTCACATTGAGGATTACGGTAATTTTGGAAAATGTTATTTTAACAAACTAAAAACTTTCTTGCAATGTTACTGTTTTTCATCTGTGTAACTACCAGCCTTTAATGTTTTGCTCTTTTCTTAAAAGAACTCCCTTTACAGTTGTCACTGCCAAAAGATTTCACGGATCGAAACCAGTATGCCCTTCTATTAATAATGTAAGTATTTGTGTAGAATCACTCAAAATAATAAAAAAGTACTTCATAGAAAACATTTAACTCTGTAATTAGAAAATGTTTTTTTACCTTGTGTAGGAAAATTACCTCATGGATTTAAGTTGATAAGTCAAAAGGCTTGTTCTTGGAAAGATTTTGTTATAGATGCTATCTGGTAGAGATGCCTGGGGTTTTTTGAGCTCATCAAATCTAGCACTGCTTTGTTGTATTTTTATGTACATGAGGCACTGACCCTTCTTCTGGTGCACCTGTGAGTAATTCCGCAGTCTTTTCTGGGCCCATACTGATCCCTACCCACAGAGGATGTCATTCAGAGCATGCACTGTTTTTTTTTTCCTTTTCTATCCCTGATAGAAACAGGTAGAGCTTCTAAGAGGGGCTCAGTTAATATGCATAAAGCAAAATTGCTTTTAGGAACACTGGAAAGAAGAAAAAGTTATTTTTGAGCATTAAGGGCTGAAGACATAATAGGCACGATCCAAAGTCTGTTGATGTTTGTAGAAAAACTCTAGGGGAGGAAGGAGGTACTCCCTGGCAACCTGCACCGTTCTTTTAAAAAGAAATAGCGTGTGTATTTCTTTCAGAGACAGTCAGCCTTTAAGTTGCATGTCTACAGACTGTATAGCAGAGGATGAGAGCAGTCATGAGCGTACCTGCAGCCTACCGAGGAAATCCAGTGACAGCCAGCTCAGGGCATCATTTGTTGTTCTACACCTGAGCTCAGCATGGGTCTGCCATGCATGTAGAGGGCTTTTCTGTACCTACAGATCTTCTCCCTATCCCATTTGGAAGAACTGATGTGAGTTTCACTAACACAGATGTAGGAGTGCACTGCTAATTTCATGAAAATACCGCATTAGCTGAGCTGTATCACCTGGAGTAGACCTCACCGTAGTGACAGCAGAGATCCTTACTGTTGTATGTGAAGTCAAATTTACAAGCTTGAGGTGCTGAGTGATCCCAAATTCCTCTACTCAGATCAGTTCTTAGATAATAGGACAGAGAGGCATAAAACTGCTTATTTCTAAGTCCTGTTTGTGTTTAAAACTCAGTGTTTTCAGTTGTATTTATCTGCAGTTGTGGAGGCTTTCTGCTTTAAGTGGCTCATGAACACATTTCTCTTTTCTTGTGGAGAAACAGGACACATGGACTATTTTATTTTTGCAGTATTTGCTAGCATGATCTTGAAGCATGATTATGTTTTAAGCAGCTCTTTTAAGTTTGCCAAAGGCAAACCGACTCTGTGAATTGACACCAGCAGCATTACAGGGAGTTGCAAACACTTGTGCTTATTCTTTTTGCTGAGAATAAGGAAACGCTAAGGTGTTAGCAGTGTAACACTTTCCTTTTTAGGTATCCTAGTAAATACATAATCTGCTATATACAGTTATGGTAGAGGATGAGGTTGTATACTCATGTATAATCTAGAGAAGACAGGAGGGTAGGATCAGAAACCTGGAGAAGACCAAGGCCAAAAATGACAGAAAAAGGAAAAAAAAGCTAAGGAATTACCATTATGAAATGTTTTTAGATACCAAGAGTTGAAATAACTTAGAACAGTGTTGAGGCAAGGTCTGAATTTAAACTTACCAAAGTTGTCAGTACCCAGTGAGTGAATAATGTGGCCAAGTCATAATGTATGGATATGTTTTATAATTGTTTTATTTTTTTATGATATGCATGTGGGCTAAAAAGGAAATTCATCCACTTATGGATACAGACTGTAGTATCTACTTTTATAATATGGAGACTGCTTCTTTTTAGTCAAATCCTTACCTTTGCAATACTGAATTCTCAATGTTAGCCTTAATAGGAGTTATTTTTAGAAAACCCTATACACTAATGAAAGTATGAAACTGAAAATTTGAAATCTCTCCTGGCTCATGTACTGTTGCATGTGTTGTGTCCCCTTCTTCCCTAGAAGAGAAAGAAGTTATATTTCTTCAGCAGCTTTTTACAGACTTTAAACTAAGGTTGCCAGCAATCTTTTTTTGAGTTAAAGATGTCCCCAAATGAATATAAAACTCAAAACTGTCACTGAAGTTATGGGAGCTCCCCTTGTGGGATGATTATTTAAGCCTAATAAATTCTGCCTAGCTCTTGAGAAAGAACGATTGGAAATCTGTGTGCGTGCAGAGGGTAATTTGGTGACCCACACAACTGCAAATTAACATCCTAAGGTTTATTTCATTATCAGAAGTACTACTTTCAAAAAAAAATGTATTCAGGTCCAAGAAGAACATGTAGCTTTTACAGGAATCACTGATTAGTTGTATATATGGTATCATTTCCTAGATATTTGACTTTCCTGAGTCCCAGAGTGGTACTGTTGGGACTGTTTCAGAAACACCCTGTTCCTACTGCTAGAAGTGTTAGACAGGAATTGTATTAGTGGCTGATAACAAGCGCTGCCTTTCATATTGCTCAGCTGCGCCTACTTTCTTGCTTGCATTCTCAGCCATGATACATTTATCATTATATTCCAGCTATTGAAAGTTTGAAAAAGAATGCTTACCAATGTCCTTGGTAAGAATGTTGATTTAATTGTATATCCATTTTTTGGAAAGGAGATTCTATATAACATCTTGCTCCAGGCAACATATACTTCGATGTACATAAAGAGAAGATATATATCTGGAAAAGTGAAGTATTAGCAGATAGGAAGTGGCTTTTGCTTTCCATCTCAGTAGTACTGCAGTTTGACAAGGACTTAAAAAAAAGGGAGGAAGGGATGGAGGGAAGGAAGGAAAGAAGAAAGGAAGGAAGGAAGAAAGGAAGTTGAGGAAAAGAGAATGTGCGTTTAAACGTGAAATTCACCTAATATGTCTCTGCAGTGCAAATTAAATGCCTAATTAAGTGCATATAAGCTTTTAAGTGCATATAGGCTTAGTCCCCTAAGGTGGAGGGTAAATACGGCATATAAGGTCTAACAGGCTCTGCCTGGCTGTTTGGCCACAGCGATTGCTTCAGAGTCACTCCGAGCCTCTGGTGAAGATTCATCTTCCCTGCATCTTACATTTTGCCAGCCATTCTTGTCTCTGTCTGCAGAATTTTTGTGCTGGTGGCTGGTTTCACTGGCTCAGAATAAAGTGGTTTTTTGATGGCTGAGGTTCATAATTTTACTGTAAATTTTCATCAGCAGCGACTGCTTTGTGTGGTGTTAATATGCTCTCTGGATCCATAGGGTTACAATTATGATAACAGAATTTGGAAATAGATAAAGGGGAGAAAGTTTGGTATTATTTGGTAATTTTTTTTCACATCACTGAAAGCTAGTAGCCATTTCAAAGGTGCATGACTAGAATAAGGTTCCTGTATTCATGCAAGGATGCCTGCAGATAAATTTGAACTTCTAGCACATGGCACCCAGGTGTCTGAGTGTTAAGGCTGAATCCTGGAAGGGGGCCTGGACCAGTGGATTCTGGTCCTGGTGTGAAACCTGGGTGTGAACTCAGTACGGCTCCACGTAGACACAAGCTCAACTTAAGGACCAGGCCCTGAATATCCTGTAATCTTCATCATAAGGATTTTGTGAAGATTCATCCATTAGCAGTTGCAAAGCATGCTACAACGTTCAAGTAGAAGATCGTTGTATCACTATGTTAAAATTTATGTCCACCTGTAAGGCTGGACTATGTAACAGATAGGTCTTATGTAGAAACCAGTTATGTCAGCTAGCACTGTTTTTCTTTCCAGAGTTGTGATCCATAGGCCATAAAATGCTGAACAGATTATAACACTCTCCTTTATTCCATTTGTTCTCCTGAACCACTAATACATTTCACACTCAGTTTCCTTCTGATAAAACACATACAGTATAGCTATAGATTAGAGAGGTGTACAGTAATTGCCTGAAAGAGTGATTATCATCTCTTTTCTATATAATTAAGATCAAAGTTTAAATTTCAGATCCTTGATTTTCTCATTATGGTTCACCTTACTCATTAAAAAAGTTGGAAGATACACTCCTTGGTAACACACAGGAAATGATTAAGTAAAGACTCTGGCATTTAATCTGGATAATAAAATGAGAGGTGATAATCATTCTTTATTTTTTCTTGAACATAATTAACCTCATTCCTTCAAAATCTGTAGATAATGTATCTTAAATGTCAGCATTTATTATTTAACGCCATTTAAAATTGTCCAATATGCAACTGGATATTGTAAAACTGAATCAGCGGAGAGATTGTTCTGATCTTTGAAGGGAAAAAACAGAAGAGGTATTCTCCAAAGTCACAGTGAATTGTCACCAAGAGCTTTCTGTTTGTTTGTTTGTTTGTTTGTTTCTGTTCTTACATTTTGGTAATAAACAGGAAACACTTCACCTGTTATTGAAATTATGAAAGTTTTAGGCCTTTCACAGGCAATCAAACCTGTTTATGCCTCCAGTTAATACACTCTCGGGACTGATAGCAAGATAAGACAGTAGGGTTGGAAGTGAAGATGTTTTTTTACAGCTTCGGGAATAACTCATTAAAAGACTAGAAGAAATGTAGAGAGGCATAATGCAAGTATTGGGAAATATTTAAGATCTGAGCTATGGTAACACTTTGAGTATTAATAGCTGTATTGCATACTTTCCATTTGTTGTAAAGGGCGTTACTCATTTTAACCGGCAGCTGTTGCAAGTGAAGGAACAATGCTTGGCTACAGGACGTGTAAAAATATGTGGTGGATTCCACTACTTTGATTGCAATATGCTTGCAAGGGGGACATCCCTGAAGGCCTTTTTGTTTGGCCAGTTCTTCCTCTCTAAAACAGCTGCAAAGTTCACTTTTTGGGAGATCCCTAAGCCACGTGAGTGATTCACTAATTGCTTTGCAAGCCATCCATTTCATGCCTGCATTCATCCTGCCTCTGCCAAATGTGGTAGTATTTTACTGCTCTGCTGTGTTGCATCAAAGTATTTGAGGGACAGTCTTTTCTTTTTTACTCTTTTAGATTTTCTTCCCCATTCCTTGAACTTTGTAATATTTCTCAAGGCCCAGAGGGAGAATTCATTTAGCTTAGGCTAAAAGAGGGGTAGGCTGGAGGCTCACTCCAGCTGTTTCATTTCCAGTAGCAGTCCTGGTGCTGTGGGCAGCGATGGATCTGCTCACTCCCTTTCACTGCAGTCTTGACCCAAAAAAAGACTTGGGGAATCATTGAGCTAAGATGCATCCTCTTTCAGCCTCCCCTACTCCCACTTTCCCCACAGCAGCACATATCTTACTATGTAAATAAAATGCTCATTTAATCCTCCTTAGAAAAAGACAAGAGTAGATTCAAAACTTCACCTCCTTTTCTGATGACATAGGACAGTGTTACAGCTCTTGTTCTCAAAATTGCATTTTCAAAGCCTCAAGGGTTTCAGAAAGATATTTTAAGAATAACAACTTTATTTTTTGTACTACGCTGTCTACTTCAGTCCTGTTTATCACATGATTCTACCCTAGCAATAGAATCACTTCTGGTGATGTGTTTTAATTTGTTTGGCCATATCTGCAGGGAGGACTTGTAAACACACTGTCTGGTTTTAGTTGCAGTTTGCTATACCTAAACAGGGTATACGAACAGAGAGAAAACGTTTGGGATTTTCTGTCCTCAATGTTTGAGGCTATTCAGGTTCCCTGGTTTTTGAGCAGTGACGATGGGTGTGCTTGAAAGCTGATGCTTGTGAAAGAGATGCTCATGAAATCTGAAAATGAAGTGGATTTTTCTATTACAGCAGTTTTTCAAAATGGTCTTCTTTCTCCACTCAGTTTCACCATAAGCAAAAGATGAGTTTTATGAGTGATATTTGTTTGCATAGATTTTATCCTCTGAGTTGTAGTCTTTCTCACGTATTTGCTATCAAGATACCTTTTCCATATGCTGCATCAAATCCCTTGTTTTGCAGAAATAGAAAGAGACATACTGGAAATTAAGCAGTGATGATAGCAACTATTTGCCATGTATCATTTAAAATTGTTTCCCCTGCTGCTTGGTCAGCCCTATAACTTCTGAAATTCCTATATAAAATCTTGCCACTTAGTTTTTAAATGGTGCAAAACCTGGAACAAATTTTGCTGCAGCCATGATAGCAGAGTGGCAGAGGAGTATTGCTCAGAGTGCAGCAGCAACAGCCTCTCTGGTAACACTGTATTATTCCTTGTAGGCTGTAACTCAAGTCAGGAACAGAGGCTTTAGTTTAAGCTTTTGGTTATAGAATCTGAAAGAACAGATTCTTCTTGTTTCAGCAATATATGAACTTATGATGAGCTGCCCCTTTTTCCAGACAGTCTGAGATGTATGTGACTGCCTTGCAAGAAGCATACGAATTACCCACTAAGGTCAATGATATTGGTATATTATTGATGGCTTCTGTCTATTTAAATGGTACCTCAATGGTGAACTTTGGCAGTATGCCCAAGTCATCAGTGCTTGCGCTGCCACAGTGGACTCATAATCTGAGTATAGTCGCTGTCGAAGACACACACTGGGCAGCTCTGAACATCGAAAGTTAGGAATAAAAATAAAAATAAAAAAGAGAAAGTGCAAGTGCTGTCACTTACAAGGAAAAAGAAAAATGAATCAGGAAGAATTAGGCATAGTCTTCATTTGAATCATTCTGTTCTTGTTTGACTCCAGAGATGATGATCCTTAAAGAACCCTTGAGGGATGTTGAAGAGCCTGTAGCTCCACGTAGCCCTTTCGGTTCTGCCTTCAATTTTGCTGTAGTGCTTTTGTTCCCTTGTGGCCATCCATAGTCGGGTTGGAAGAAGACTTCTGCGTTTGTATTACACCCAAGCATAAATGGCACAGACTTTCTTCCAGGCTTACTAGTGGGGTCAAGAAATAATTCTATGAAGAGGGTACCACTGAACAGTAGTTAATTATAATTAGGCTGTAAGTAGTGATGAGCATAAAACAAAAACTGACCTTTGAGATAGCTGTAATCCCAGGACAAACTTCACAATTCAGGCTGTGCATCTATTATTGCACTGTAGTAACAAACTTCCCTTGTTACAGAGCCCTCAGGGTGATGTTGAAACTTGCATAAAGGATTAATACCTTGCAGAAGCCCCATTTAAAAGGTCAAAAGTGGGGCCTAAATGGTGCACAGAATATATGCTGTCTCTCTGTGGAGGACAGAAGCACACCTCAGATAATCAGTATCATTTTATAGTAGCAGCTGAAGAGTAAAGAGACCTTTTGATGCTAATGGGAATTTTGACATGTACCTCAATGGAAATGGCTTTAAATGCCTGTCACAGACTACTTATGTGGACATTCTTGAAATAAATTAGCCACTGGAAAATTGCTTCCAAAAGCAATATGTCAAACAACCCATCATGCAGGAGTGGAAGACATGTAGCGTTTAAAGTCTGAGCCTCGCAGTAGCCCAGCTATGCCCTCCAGAGAAGGAGCTTGGGAAAACATCAGTCAGTTCTCGCCCACTGAGAATCTTGCTGAGGTTCTGTCTGTTGTTTCTTTCCTAATAGAAGAAATTATCTGAGTGTATCATCTTTCATTTAAAACCCTTTTTTGTTTTAAGCACTTTCTGGTATAGAGAAAGGCTTACAAATGTAACAGTTCTTCCCCTATTCCCAAGTGTCTAGATATATAACATATATACACACACACACACACACACATGCATGTATAACCTAGATATATAACATCTATAAAATAAATGCAAACACTGTATTTGTTTTGTTCTTATATTAGGTGGGAGGGAAGCAGGCTAACTCATGATATTTTCACTTCTGTGGAGTGCATTAAACTGTTGGAAAGATACCTAGCCAGACAAGGACCTTTCTGACATATTATCTTATTGTGGAAAGTTGGAAGAACTTAAAAAAAAAAAATTGTAACTGGTCTGAGGCTGCTGCTATTGGAAGTAGTAGTAAAAGCTCTGTGAAAACATCTCTGTCAATGTAGAGTGTTTCTGAAAACCTTGCTCTGTACAATAAGCATAAATTGAAAGAATTGTTCTGCTCGCGCTCTCATTGTAAATAATAATGACAATATACTTCTGAAATGTGTGTTTTCTGCAGAGTTCACTTGACAATCAGTATTTCCAAACTTGTTGCTCTGCATTGTTAGCAGTTAGTGTAATCACAACTGAATTGGCTAAGCAAACAAAAAAATGCCCTTTCTTTCTTTTTATAAAGCCAAGTATAAACTTGATGCACGAGGTAATGGTGAATCAAGCACAACATATTGTGACTGGGTTGATAACCAAGTAATCCTGATTTCAGTGCATGATATAGCAGCTACGTAGGTAGGTCTGACTGAATTTGAGAACATATGTATTCATCATATGCTTGCTAATTAATAGAGCGATTACCTTGAAGATGGTCTATGTTATCCACAGCCAAAACCAGATATTGAATCAGCACATTGTTGTACATATAAGGCAGTAGTTATTGTAGGAGATTTTTATATCTCTTTCCTTCCCCCAGGTTTATATAAGTCTCTGGCAAAATTATAATTTCTGTCTTCATCTTTCTTTCACCTTAGACAGAATATTCCCACAGACACTGTCCAATCTAATTTCCATACAGCCAGCACCAACACTTTTACATTTTAATTTGCATTAAACTGGCAGATGCAGCCAGCATAGAAGCATTTTGCATTTTGTACAACTTCATGGTAGCCTGCTCTCTTATTCTGTGTTTATCTTGGGGAAAAAATAATGACAACCTTCCCTTTTGAAACTGACATTTTATTTTCTTTGGAAAGAAAATAGTATATTTGGCTTCAATGGAAAATGCTTATTGTTCCTCTAGAAACTGCATTCTACCATTCTATTCCACCTTTTCTGCTGTAAACCACCTTTTTCTTTTAGTCATAAAATAAACTTATCACTCCTGCCTGCATGCATTTCTTGCTATGAATTTGGATGGAGAAAATATAATTTTCTTCAATGTGTACCTTAGTCTTCTTTGTACCCTATTTCAAAAAATCCATTCAAGGATACAATAATGCAATTATTTTTGTTTTCTAAGATGACATCCTTCTTAATAGTATTATATATCCTACAAAATCATAAGCAGGGTACTGAATGAATTTTCCTTTTTTGTCTGTTTAGTGTGACTTAACAAATTCTACATTAGCCTTCTCAGAACTGAGCTAGCCATTAGTGATTATGTTATTTTTTTTGTTCACTTTATTGAACTGTAAGCAGCACTACATGCTTTAGTTTTCTGTTTCTTTCTGTAAAGAATATTCAAGTATTGGCAACACTGCAACGTAGTGGTTATAAACTTAAATTATTTTGCTTACTACTGCCGCAGGGATACCAGCACTAGCTAATGTGATAGTATCGATGGAAGTGACAATAATTCAACAGGATTGCATAACCGACTGAACTCTGCCATCTAGGTTAAATAAAATATCGGAGAACGGCAAAGTGCATCACATTGTCAATATAGTCTTCGTTTGTGTCTGGTGTGTTGGTATTTGCAGTGATGAAGCTCCAGGCAGCCAGTTGGTTACAGATAAGTTTCACATTGACTGGGACTCAGTGCTTGTCAACTCTGATAATGTCATCGTAGCTCGATTTGATGGCAGAGGGAGTGGATTTCAAGGCCTTAAGATTCTACAGGAGGTCCACCGATGCTTAGGATCAGTGGAAGTGAAGGACCAAATAGCAGCTGTAGAGTACGTATGTGCAAACTTTTCTTCCTTTTTACCCTGCTTCCACTCTGATGAACGAGCATTTTTAACTGAAATGGCCTGGAATGTTTTCTTTGCATAGTGAATACCGTTACTGTTTATTTTTAATGCAGTTGCAAATTTTGAAACAATAATCTTTTCTTTACAAACAGCAAATTAAAGGTCAAAGAGGTGTTTGCTTTTTCTGTTGGTGCTTCTTTTTGATAAAGCTGTCCTTCTGTGTGCAATCTAAATATGCCATCTGAGCTAATTGGTATTTGTCTATATTCCTCAGGAAAATTTCTTGCAGTGCACATGTTAATGCATTTGTGTTACAATATTTTAGGCCTATACAGTAGGATGCTGCCCTCATTTCCACCACAGAGTTCTGGAGTAACCGGACAAAGTAAATGGAGTTGTAATGGTGTAAATGAGAGCAAAATTTGGGCAAGTGCCTGTTATTTCTCATTTGCGTTATCATTCTTAGACTGATAGAAATCCACCAGCTGCAGAAAGAGTAATTTCCCTCTGTGGAGTAATCCCACATGGCTTTGACAACACTCTTTACCAAGGGTGCACATGTCAAAATGGCTAATATCAAGGTCTGGATGGACTTTTTCTACGGATTCTCAAGGAAAAACAGATTTTAAGCCAGATTTTTTTTTTCTTCTTTTGAAAGGGGTTGATACTTCAACCATTGTGTGTATAGACATCTGTGTCTGGCATGACATACCTGGGCGATAGGGCTCCTGGTGTTCATGTCGGTCAGGAATGGGCTGTGTTGAGCAGAGCAATTCGTCTTGCAAGCATCCAGGTGACCCTTGCGAAGGGCCATCAGGAGCAGGCCATACGCTGTGCTGTGAGATCTGAGCTCTCTGCTGAAATACTAAGATGTTTTAGGCTAAATTACATCTGGCCTCTGTTTGGATGCAGTGCATGGGTGCCCGTGGCTGAGAGGAGGTACTGCAACTGGTTCTGCCTCCTCAAAAGCAGTTGGATTTTGCCCTCAGGTTATTCTGTCTTTTCTGTATAAAATTCACCATTGCTGATTAATGGCCTTGGTAAGAGAATTAATTGTTTGGATAATTATCTAGACTCAAGAAGTTGCATTCATCTTACCTTCCTTTAGCTGGCTAAAAACGAGGCACCTCGTCAAAGGCAGTCATTTAAGCTCTGGTCAGTGGAAAATCCTGGCATTTCTGAAGGGTGGTTCTCCCCAGACCGAGAGAGGTTTCCAATATGGGTGGGAAGAGTGGCTGTTTGAGGGTGTCTCTCTTCTCTCCTCTAACTGAAGCGTAAATGGAAAATATAGACAAGATGCTCAAATTCAGTTACCTAAAATTAGACGAGATGAGTCCAGCACCAACTGTTTGCCGTATAGAGAAGGAATTAGAAAGCAAATCAAATTTCCCAGTGCAATAATACTTTTATTGGTGTAATTTGTTCTTCTACCTGATCCACATGTATGACAACTCCTTACTGTACAGTTATTTTTTTTTACATACTAGATTTAACAAGTAAAATTCACCTTTTTACATTACCAAAATAAAAAAACCAAACCCTTTTTTTCTTGCAGATCACTATTGAAACAGCCCTTCATTGATCCTAAGAGACTGAGTATATTTGGAAAGGTAATGTGCAAAATAGCAGGATGTATCATCATGATTCTTTAAGAAAATACTATCAGTTCATAAACAAATATATTTATCTATTTTCCTAAGACAATTTCAGTTATTAAAAGAGGGAAAAAACCTACCATAATTTACTGTATGTTCTGTATATTAACTTTTTCTCAGAATGGGTATTTGAGATCAATCAGATCAGTTTTATGCTACTGCAGTATTTGTGTTTCAGAATCTGTAGGACTTCTGTAGTATCTTCTTTCGGTAGAAATTTTAATATGGGCATAGATTTTTGTGAAAGTTTGTTTCTTACACTTTTACATTTGGGCTGCAGTTAAATTGACAACATCCTTCTAATACAACTTTTATATCTGAATGTTTTACTGACCCTTGAAGTCAGCTGAGTTACAGCCCTATGGTACTGTCAACAACTTTCTTTTTGTGCCATCTGCTAGATATCTCACCATTGCTATTTTGTCAGCTGGCTTCACTGTGTGGCATGTCATTGCCTCTAGCATGAGGTAGAACAAGGCAAAGGCTTAACCTTTAGTAACAAACTAAATATCGTTTTACTGATGTCTATTAAAAAACAGCAGTTAGAAACACCACATAATTGCTGCTGCTTCTGTGAACTAGCATGTGCAACCTTTTTTTTTAAAAACTCTTTTCTTAAAAATGAGGATGTTTTGTGCCTTTGACCTCAAAGCAGCAACAAACCGTGACCGAGTACCTAGACAAACCCCAGAATCAGCAGTTATAAGAGCAGCATGCGTTCCACTGTGAAACCCTTTAGTTCCCATCCCCGCACTGCTACTGACTTGCTGCATGGCCTTGGGCAAGGCATTTAACCTGCCTGTCGCTGTCTGAATGCGAGATGAGAATATTCATATTTACCTCCTGCATGGCAGCATTTTGAGGACTAGTTAATGTTTGTCAAGTGCAGTGAAAATGAAGTACTAGTATTAGGGTTCCACATGAAAGTGACCTTCCTCAAAGATTTGAGCTGCCACACTACTTGAGCTAAAGAAATTGTCATTGCAAGAATATCACTAGCATCAAAACCAGTATTTGGTTCATAGGGCAGCAGCCAGAGATTTTTCAGCACAGGATGTATAAGTAGGGCTGATTCCACCCACCAGGTGATCATGGCACACAAAATATGGTGTTCCTGCATTTATTTTCTGAAAAAAAGATTGAGGAATGAAAAGTGTAAATGTGAGAAAGCAAAGAGCAAAAACTGGGAAATTCAGTAAGCTTCAACGCTGCTTTGAATTGAGGGAAATTTGCCCTTTCCAAGTTAACATCTCAGCGTTGTTTTCTACTGTCAAACAAAAGTTCATCAATAGAATGTACACTATGCTTGAAAATAAGATGGCTTTGGAATTGCTTAATGCTGATCTCATAAAGCTGGGCTCCTGCACACTGTTGTGGAGCTCTTTAAGAAATTTTAGAACTACACAGAAAGAAAATTCTTGTTGCAATCAGTAATGTAAACTAGACACAAGAGTAACAAGACTGTCCAGAAGGGCACAGTGTGGAAAATGCCTTCTTCTAAGTGCCAGGCAATCTGCCAATGCCATCTTGCTTGTCTCTGTAAGGGGTATGAGCCCAAGTGATGCACGATCCAAGGGCCTTTCTGAACTGTTACACAGCGAATTGTGTTTCCACATAGTCTGCATTTTTGTCATGGAAATAGAAAAAGAGCTTGAAAATAAGTTGCAATTTCACAGCCAACCAGCTGCTTGAAAATACGGCAATTAGGTTATAACCATAGAAATCCAACTGATGAGTGAGGCACCATATATCCTTGCATCAGAACATATGAACTATTTTTTGCACTGTCATTGTGAAGTGCTTCTAAAAATGTGATCTCACTGTGTAATGTTTTTGTCCTGGAAAGCCTGGCTGGAAGCAAGGGCACAAGCATAAAGGAAAGAAATTCCCAGGAGAACTAAACCAAGCTCTTAATGAATATAAGGCATAAATAATAAATAACCTGGCAATAGCTATCCTAGGATTAAAGTTGTGCTGTGGAGCTACTGGGAGAGACACAAACAGAATATTAAACAAAAGCAAAAGTAGAGACCCAGAGGCAGAGGAAAGTTGCTATTCTCTTAAACTCTGAATTATCCAAGTTACATCGGTGCCCACTCTGAAATTCTTTCTTAGGTGAAATCTGCTCCTGCGTATGGATTATTCTGGGCAGCTCTTGGCCTCCTGGGCTGGATTTTTTACAAGAAAGGGATAACTCAGTTCCTCACACTCCCTTGAAAATCCAGCTCTTATGCTGTGTTTCCTTTAGTGTGTCCTTTCTCATTTACTATAGGTTGATTCCAAAGAACACTCCTGTCTGCTTATTTTTCTTAACTAAGGCTAAAGGGTTTTGCCATTCTTCCACAGAAATTATCTATTCATTAAATATTTAGACATGAAGAACAGGAGCAGGCAGGATTCAAAAAAGTCCGTGGGAAAACTCTGTAAGCATTTGACACACAATATTCTTTTTTTGGGTTGGCTGCTGGTTTACATTTTTCTTTTCCCTGTCATGGGATAGTTTCTTCTTCCTGAAATGTGTTGTGCCAAACACCAAAGAAGAACAACAAAAAAATTTTCCAGCACTGATGAAGGGAAAACAAAGATGGCAGAGACATTTGAAAGGCCCATAACGTATGAGAAAATCATTGATCCCAGACTTGACAATTCAGAATTTCATTTTCTGTAGGTCTAGAATGATGCGTCAGGGGGAGGACATACTGCAATCAGTTCACAGGTTTCCCCCATGCCCATACTATCTGTCCTGTGTATCCTGGTACTTAGAAAATATCTACATTAAGTATATTAAAAACTGAGTACAAATCTTCCTGTCTAGGGTGTGTTCCGAAAAGCCGTACCTTTGGTTTTTGTTTTGAAGGTTTTTTCCTGTAATTTTCAAATCTTTTACTACCTATAGGCTAGTCTTCCATGATGGAATTACAGAGCTTAAACTGAAATATACTCATTAATTGCATGGTTTAAAGATCACGACCAGGCCATATGAGATCTTTATTCACTCTTAACTGTAGGTTTACATTTCCTTTAAAAGCAATTCTTGCAGATATAAATACATACTGTGAAATGATACCATCAGATTAGCACAATGGCCTTTAACTTTATTGTTGCAAAAAAGAAATGAATAAACAAAAATCTCAGTAACATTTCCGTTGTTAGGGATATGGTGGCTACATTACATCAATGATCCTGAAATCCAGTGAACGGCTCTTCAAGTGTGGAGCTGTGGTGGCACCAATTACAGATATGAAGTTTTATGGTGAGTATTTCCTGCCCTAGACCTGTGTGATAGTCTATTCAAAATATCTTTTATTCATGGAGCTACTGTTCATTTTAACTAAGTGCAGATAATGTAGCAATATCAACTAGGTTTCACCTCACTGTCTCATTTTCTCCTTTAAATGGAAGGGCAGCTAACATTGGGACAGTTTACCAGATACAACAGATACAATATTATTAACACTACTGATTTTTGCAAAGGAGTTGTGTGTCCCATTTCCCACTGAAATTCAGTCCGGTACCCCATTTCCTAAGAATCCTTTAGGTGTATCAGCCTGAATCAAGAGTTATAATAGGAATGAATCTTTTAAGGTTAGTGGTGAATTCCTTACAATATCAACCATGTCATCATTCAAGCACAGCATATTTGGTTCTGTATGTGAAGTTTTGGGCACAGGCTATGGACTGTGGACTGTGATACACAGGAAATCAGACCAGGTTACTTTAATGGTCTGTTAGTCTTTTCTTTGGGTTTTTTTTTTTTTGGTTTGGTTTTGGGGGGTGGGTTTGTGGGGGGATTTGTTGGGGGGGGGGAGTTTTTGGGGGTTTGGGTGTTTTTTTAACCATTTAAAAATGGTTTTAAATGGTACATTCTGACTTTAAATTAACATCTCTTTATTGACTTCATGGCTTAAATAGCTTCTCCTGACTCTAGGTCAGAACTGATGAGTTTTAAAATAGAAGTAATTTTGATGAATTCACAAGTTTTTGGTTTTACTTTCACAGCATCAGCTTTTTCAGAAAGATACCTTGGTATTCCGTCAAGAGAAGAAAATACCTATCAGGTAAGTTAGCATAAACAAATAACTTAAAATGACTGTTTTACTCTTAAAATGCAATTCAGTTACACCTTTGTGTGTGTTTGTTCACTAGGCATCCAGCGTTTTACACAACCTTCATGGTTTAAAAGAAGCGAATTTGCTAATAGTTCATGGGACAGCCGATAGTAAGTATTTACAGATGCAGTTACATTCGGAGTCAGAGGTTTTAATAGGCAGGCATTCAAAGACTGATTAAGCACACACCTAGCAAGTATATTTTTAGTTTCATTATCCGTCTGATAGGATTTTCTATTTTATTTCAATGTCACTTCTAACTCTAAACTGATGACGCTTTTCTTTGCTGAATATTTGTACCTTTTAGGTGCTGTATGTTCTAATTTGTTTAAATCTTGTGGCCCACTGTCTTGCTAGTGAAAGTTATTATATGAATTATTAATAGAACAACATACATTTTTAATGGTATTTTAAATTCATAGAGATTCTGCAATTGAAGAAAGAACTATCAGTACAATTGGTGAAGTACGGCACCAAATGGGAAGTTAAACTTTTCAGCTAATTAATTACAAGGTAGCGCCAAAGCATCTGAAGCTGAAGCTACAGGGAACCTTTTAATAGCATGAATGCTTTTAGCAGTAGTTTAAGACAGAGAATGAGTAAAACAAAGTTCCAGCACTTTAAATGGAATCATAAGATGCCTCAATCAAGAGATAATTTGTAATTTCAGATTTAAATTTAACTGCAGTGTATTTTTCTGAACTTTCTTAACGGATGTAGGTCTAAAGAACGAGCTTTGCTGCAGGCACAAATTACAGTGCTGCAACAAGCTCCTCTGTACAGATTCACATGCATACTTCTTTCCCTGGCATTTTCCCGGTGAATGTGGGATAATGCAAGGTTTCTTACTCCCCAGTCTGAAGGGACAAGTCCCTCGCACTAAGGGCGGAGGTGAGAGTGCCCACATGCACGGCTGGCCCAGTGAGGATGGCACCCGCCAGCCTGTCGCCCCAGTGGAACTTGTCAAAGCCGTGTGGTGGATCGCAAGTGCGATCAGAGGGGTGCAAATACTGTCCAGTGTTTCTTCCCAGAGCAGGGGAGAGAGAGGCAGAGGAGATGTACTGGGTGACTGAGCAGGCACGAGGGGCTCAAACTTGGCTGATTGTGAAAGGCAGCAGCAATTCCTACCCCTCTGAACTCAACGCTAGAGGGAATTGGGACTCTGATAAGATGTCTGAGCAATACAGTGTGTTCAAGACTAGGATTCTGATTGCCTGCTGCCCTTGCTTAATATCACATCTAGTGACACTGCCCAGCCCACGTGCAGCCTAAGCTCTGCAGGGTTAGCACATGGTAATAAAGTTGCCTGTTTTTACCACACAAAGATTAAGTTACTGATATGTTGCAGAAAGGCCATTACCTAAAGAAGTGTGGGCCGTAATAACCCTGGGCAGGCAGTAGAAAATCCAATGTGCTTTCGGTTAACACAATTATAAGCTGTCACAATGTTCAAACAGAATGGTTTTACACACCTCTAAACTATCACAGTGTGTGTAAATCAAGGGTAGAGAGAGGAGTCCTCGCAGAGTGCCTGGAAAGCATGGCTTCCCTTGGGGCTTCCAGCTCCTTCTCCAAAACCTCCACTGTTACAGCCTGCATCCCTGTTATACCCTGCATCCCTGTTACTGGTGGGACTGTGTGCTTCTGACCAGAAAGATAGTCAGCTTCAGATCTGGTAATTACAGACGTTGGAAATGTCTTCTAGTCAAAGCTGTTTAACAGATAAGTATTTCATATTAGCGTAGCTTTTTCTAATGATATCCAAATGTTGTTGTCTTGCAGCTAAAGTCCACTTCCAGCATTCAGCAGAACTAATTAAACATCTAATAAAAGCTGGAGTTAATTACACTATGCAGGTATGTGCAGCTGTGACATTTCCTGTAAACACAGTTCAACATTTAACCTCACATTGCTATTTCTTCCCTGAGAAGGACCCTCCCTACCACAACGCACCAGTATTACTTCAATTAGCAGTTAGAACTCAGTCTAATCCCATTTTCCTCATTGTTAGTATGGATGCCAAGAACTGTATCTTCTTCTTGTTCTTCTGGGCTCGTTCTCCTCTCTCTCATCTTTCTTTTTTCCACCTGTTTATCCTACAATGCTATACAAAGTGCTTTAGAGTCCGTATGCACTCTTTGTAATATGGACATATTGCTACTTTAGTCCCTTTTTACCTGAAAAAGTATTGGGTCACATGAAACTAATTTCCTCTTATTTTCAACATTTGAATTTGTTAAAAGGCAGCTAAAAGGCGAGAGCGCTGTTCCCTCTCCCCATAGCTGTACAGAGGGTGAAGGGGAGGCTGGGGAGAACAGGACAGGGTGTGCTGCTGACGTAGACTTGCACGGGACCCACTGTGGAGTACGTGGATGTTGCTGGCCAAGGGTTCTGATTGCATTAAACCTTCTTGAATATCTTGGATGATGTGGTTTTGGGTCGCTCCTCCAAATATCTCTGATGTTATACATTGCAAACCTTGACCTTACTGAACCTTAGGTAAACCTGTGGTTTCCACTGAAGCATGTGAGCTCATGTCAGGGAAGAGGTGGTAACAAGGGGGTTAGCATCACTTAGGAAGGGAAAAGGACTTTATGTGTGAAATCTGAGCGGGTAGGATCTGTTCCTTCTGTCCCTGTGGTTTCAGCTGAGGTGATGTGAAGGCGTGTGGAGAGTAGGAATGACAGAGGTCTCTTAGAAGAGCCCCATTGAACCATTCTCATGCAACCTTGTGATAATCTGAGTTTGAGGAAGCAGCTGAAGCTTTTTACCTCAGGCCACCGCAAGTCTCTCATCCTAAACAAGATCCTGTGGCCTGGATTTCTTCATTCAGCCTGCAAATTTTTGTTCAGCCTCACTTGAGAGAAATTTCCAGTGAAATTTAAATTAAGAGATAAAAATGCCCACATCTACCCTAGGAGAGAGAGATGATGGGCTTTAGATAAGATAGGAAGATAGTTAAAAATATGAATAAAAAGGTTTTTTGCTGAACACTTAGAAGCTGGGATATTGAGAGGTCCCTAAAAGCATGACATAATTAATCATCATTGATGCTAATGGGATTTGGATGCCTAGATACTATTGAAAATGCCAGCTAAGTAAACTGTTGTAAGCACAATGACTGAGGATATAAATTTTTTCACTTCTGCAGATCCCACCGCAGTGGTTGTTTTATGCAAGTTCAAATTCCAAGAGAATGAGTTTTACTTTGAGTTTTATTAGCTTTCCTTGATGCCATAAAATGAATGTTATCATCCTGTTGTCATCTAAAACATTCTGAAGATCAGAGAAAGAAAATTAGAGCCCTAAATATTTGAAAAGCCTTTAAAAAACTATTTACTTTTTTCCTTTCTCCTCTCCTAGATCTACCCGGATGAAGGTCATAACATTGCTTCTGAGAAAAGCAAATATCACCTTTACAGCACAATCCTTGGGTTTTTTAGTGCTTGCTTAAAGGAGGAGACACCAATTTTACCACAGGAACCTGAAGAGGATGAATAAGGAAGCCTATTTGTGTAGTACTGAAGGGGACTTACTTTGCGGCTCAATAAAACCTTAAATAAAAGTGACTGTAAGATTGCAGATTCTGCAGAAGCTCAAGGGCAGCTAAAGGATATCACAGTGGAACAGCACATTTACAGACAATGAGCTAATAAACTGGAATGCGACTACAAAGTCCAAACATATTACCAAGGGACAAAACCTTTACCTTTGTGGAAGGTCAACAGTTGGTTACAGTTTCCTGGAAGAACTTAGTTTTGCATAAGCGTAGGGTTAGTGCATGTTTGTTATGTTAAGCCTCACTGTTGGTTCTGTAAGTGGTTGCTCGTTTTTTAATTTAAATGCACATCTTTATTCATCTTTGCATAATGCACAACCTATCATAAGTATTATGGCCACTAATATTTTAAAAGGTGAGCTGCAATCTAACACTTTACTGTAATGTTACAATAAGTGCAATTCTTTCGCTGTCTATTACACATAAGAAACCACAGAGATAATAAAGGGCACGATATTTTCTCTAGTTTCTGCTCAAAGGGGATATATTGTCTAGTGCATCATATAACATTGATAATGAAAATGATTTTTTTTCCCAATTTCAGCATTTACAGTTATTACTATACCTACTAGTAACCAATAAGGGACTTTTTGGTAGTGTACTCTTGGTCTTTATGTATATACCCAGGACTCCCTAAGCAGAAAATCTTTCTGAGCTTGAAGAATTTTTTTCAAGACGTAATTAACAGCTGTATTTAAAAAATATCTGCAATTGAAATCTTTCCCCAGTCCAAAATGTATCTATTGTTTCCTTAAAATATGTTTGAGTTCTGTTTTGGTATTGTTTATAGTAGTTAATAGTTTGCTGGTTACACTCTAATTTTAGAATATGCTACTTTGTCACATGTAAATTAGATACATAAATATTAAATTATAGTTTCAGATAAAGAAAATTTATTAACAACGTATAATGCCACTGAGTAATACTTTACTCCTCAAATGAAGACATATTTTGTATAGTGCATCTTCCTTTTCTTCCATCTGGTCTCAGATACAATTCTAATGTTCATCAAGGTGGCCACATAGCTGGAACACGCCATTAGTTTTTATTCCAGGGCTGCTCATTAAGTCTCTTGCAACAGGATTTAGCTTCAACAGCATCACAAAGAAATGAAATGTTTTTCATTCAGAGCAAAGGAAGCTCCTGACAAGTTAAATTTTATTATTTATTCAGAGGGCGAGCCCCTCATACATCCATTTATTTGCCAAGGTGAATTACAGCAATAGAAACTGGAACTATGAAATAAATAAGGCAGCCCATTTGGGTTTGCAGAATATTAACTCTGATCACTGAAATCAAGTACAGTGTTGACTTAATTTGAGATGTCTTCCTGAAGGTATGTGAAAACTCTTGACAGATGCTGTGCCGCTTACATGAGAATAGCTGCAGTTTTCTTCTTTCCGGATATAGTCCAAATACTTTCCTACCCAATTAAGGTTTCATTTCTTGCAAGATTAAAAAGAAAGTAATTTTTTGAAGGTAACTGTACTATTTAAGATGTAAAGTTCTGCATATTTTATGAAGAATGGGAATTGGTTTTAATGTAATCAAAAATCACCTGAAGCTTTTTACTCATTACTTCCTTCTGGAATATTTTCTTTCACAGTTAGCATTTTTTTATGATGCAAATAATTAATTTGTCTGAAAGGTGTGGTTTTATGGAGCACTGGAAAGTCTCTGTCTTCTAATGTTTAGTATTTATCTTGTTTTACTAGCAATGTTTAACTATTTTTCAATTAGTTTAATACAATTTTAATGTGCAATGATATCTTGTTTGGGTCCCAGTGTCACCACAAAGTATGACTTTGCTTTGTGGCATTTATAGTACATATGGAGTACGTATGTATAGTATAGGTACGGTATCTATGTATGGAGGCTACTACGTGCACTACAATAAGACCACACAAAACAACAGAAAAAATAAGAGAAGAATTCAAAGAAGGTTTTGCAAATCCTGTTTTCTATAGAGGAGCAACATTTTAAAGTCTTCTATTGGCTCGGACTTCTAGATTGTGATTTTATAAATTACACCCATTACTTAATAAAGGCTCACCTGACAATACTGATGCATTTCCTAACCAAACACAGTAAATAAGGTCGTAATCCAGTTGAATTCCATGAGACATTTTTCCCGATTTGAGCCAAGTGCACACGAAGAAACCACAAGCTGTGTGCATACATCAAGCATACCGCGTGGACTCGGCGTGCGGAAGCTACGTGAAAAGGCGAATTCTTCTCAATAAGCGCTGGCTGTTTCTCTGCGAGACAGCCGCTATGTGCTCATATTTACTGTGTTTCACATATATAGCCTTTAGTTACCTGCAAAAGAAAACAAATAAGGCTTGTGTCTCAGCAATAGGATTATGCATGTGCTCAGGAAATACGTTATCCCAGATCTGTGGAACCCACACCGTCTCCTCCTTTCCCCGTAGCTCTGTGTTTCAGGCCCCCATTCCCTACTCTTTCTACCCTGGCATCTCACCTCCAATTTTGATCAATTTACCTGAATATGAAGGTGGCATGAGGACATGGCTTCTGTAAGAATGCTTTTGCCAGGACTGGTATGTTTAAAAAGTGTGTTATCTGAAATGTGGGTTATCTGTGTGGAAATGTGGTATGCTTTTAATGTTTTTAATATTCCTCACGCTGTCCTACAAATACAGGTATTTTTATATAAATGTGTATACAAGGGTGAGCATCGGACCCAGATTAATCGGTTTTACTGAAATTTTTATCGATGAGTTAAATTCAGATATTGCAAAAGTATTTGCAGATGCAGCCTCTGATTCTAGTTAGACTAAAGAATTTGGTGCAAGGGGTATCTACTCTTGCTAACCTTTTCAAATATTTCTTCCACTTAACAGCACAACTGAATATTGTTATCTATCAGATTCTACATGCATAACTAATGGCAGTCACTCATTAATTAGTCTATGCGATCTATAGTATTGATCAAGTATTAGTACGCATTGCGCAGAAATGGCATGAAAAGTGTAGATTTTTTGTAGCTTATCCACTGTTAAGCACTGTGATGACATTTTAGGTCTGAAAAATTACTGTTTGATTCAGCTGTCCTTAAAATATGACACTAGGCTAGACCTATTAATTTATGGAAAGCTAGGGAATCAGCATATCCATTTACTGCTTGCTAGAGCTTATCTCTACCTTCTTGATTTCCTCCTTTTTCTGCTATTAGGACTTGTGAAATCTATGAAACCTGTAGGTCATATCGAAATTTCAATTATATTACAAAAATCGGGAGTAACTGCATGTCAGTTAGTATATTTTTTCCAGATCGTTAAGTACAAAGAAAGGCTGATTATTTTTAAATTCATTTTTTTAATCTTTTTGCAGTGAGGACAATTATTTATGACCTGGTTTGATCAACGTCTGCTATGATTTGCTATAACCAACTGCTCGTTGTTCCTGTGTTTTTGGCATATGTAGATCTACCCGTGTCTGAAAATGAAGATGATTGCCTCTATTCTCTCAGCTCTGGCACTTATTTTGAGTGTGGAGTCAGTTAGGTTCATTTAGTTGAGAAATTGTGCCTTTTAAGACAGAAGAGTTTGTATTTGATCTGAAGCCAAAGATTCTCCATGGAAACTTGGGAGTGTTGAGTGTTGGCTCCTTTAATAAAATGCAGAGGATACAAGGTGTAACCTAGTATCCCTCCTTGCAGGTCTATTAGATGTTACTGAAGAAACTGAACCAAGAGGAAGACTGGCCCAAAGAGACTGAATGCCAGTTTCTTTTGCACAGCCTAAAAACACGTAGGCAAGGTGCAGTGGTCCTAGCATTTTGTATTTACTTCAAGTAACTCCTGCTGTCAAGTTGGTTGCCTCTGGGGAAGGAAGAACCTCACCGGTATTGATTACTGGTGCATCTTCTTCAAAACATTTTTCAGTACCATTAAGATCACTCCTCTTTTTCCTTTGAACAATTTCAAGAGTGCTTCAGAGAATGGGGAGCTCATGGGATGTGACTAAGGAGAGTCACAACTTCCAAAGTGCCTGCAGCTTTGAAAAGAAAAAAAAGGATTTAGTTAAACTTCTATCTGTTGTATTTCATACATGAAAGTCGAGAAGGAGCCTGGCTTCAAGGAGGTAGATGGATGACAAGTGTTGGTGATTCACTCACCAGGGGGTAACACAACATCCTTCCTACGAACCTAGTACCAAAATTTTGCAGTGGTAAGTAAAATAAACGCCTGTTTTCCGATGCCTGAAAATTACAGTGCTGTTAGATTAAGTTGATCGGGTATTTGGATGGAATTAAGGAAATTAAACCACCTGAGTGTATGCGGTCCAAAGTTTCCATTAAACTTGGGACTAGATTTCTTGCCTGTATAATTCGTTTAGAAATCCAATATCCTACCTTTACATAAGTCTAACTCAACAACAACAAAATTGATTTAATAATGGCGATACCCCATGAGGACACAAATGATACGTACAACTCTTTTTAATTAAAATATCCCATAAAGTGCTAACAGCCCATTTTTAGATTTCATGACCAGAGAAAAAAGAAAAAAAAAAAAAAAGGTTCCGATTGATAAAAGTGGAGGCAATATAATTGGTAGGAAGATACTCAGGAAACATTTCCCTAAGAAAAGTGATTAGAAAAATGTTTTCTGCTAAAGTGTATTTTGTGTCATAAGTGAGCTCAGAGCTGTTGGGGGTGCTTCTAAGAGGATTTCGATGTCGATGCACAGCTGATGCCGAGGGCTCAGGTAGGAGCGGGTACCCGTGGAGGCAGGTGGTGCCGTCCCCCACGAGGTGCAGAGCCTTGGCAGCTTTCCGCAGAGGAGGGTCGCGGTCTGCGAGTTCAGTCCGCCACAGCCCCTTCCGGATCCAGCAGGGATCCAGAACACGGCGACAGGAGCGCAACTGATGGGCAAAGACATGAAATTGTCGCATCAGGAATAAGAAACATATTTTTAAAAAATGACTGAGCAGTATGGTCATCTTGCTGTTGTGCAGTTAGTCGAAGGTGAGGGTGGGGAGCTTGGGCAGGGCACTCGGTGATCAACCCAAACGCGCTCCGGCTGAGAGAGCAGCTGGCAGAAATCACAGCTCTGGCAGTGTCTGCAAGTGCTCTAACATCACTATGAAGAAAGGGAAGGGAATATATGCATGGGCAGAATATTTTGTCTCTAATATCGTGGAAGAGTTGCTTTAATAAAACAGGCAGATCCTTCCAGAATCTTAACAAAGAGCAGAACAAGCCTAAGGATGGGTGCTGGTTTGTTCCGGGAGCGGCACCTTGCCAGCCTTTTCCTGGCAAATAAAATAATGTGTAGGATCTGTTCTTGGGAAGGTCTTCAGCACCGTGTAGGATCTATTCTTGGGAAGGTCTTCAGCACCATTAGGAGAGAGGTAAGGAAGAAGAATGTTGTGAGGAGACAAACAAAGAGATGTTTTATTGCAATATGTTGCTCTATTCAGAGCTTTCGCTCTAAACTAAAGTGGTGTAGCGTGTACCGCAAAAAACAGTAACCTTAGAGACAAATGTAGCCAACGCTTGATTCAATGAACTTTCAGCTAAAGCAGGAGAGCCAGAACATTCAGTTATTTTCACAAAAGAATGGTGAATTACATGGTTTCTTATGGATTTTTAGTCCTGTGTTTATTTTATATCCTACATTTCAGATAGTCGCTATAAAGAAAGGAATTGTTAAATATAATTCCACATTTGAAATCAGCAGTTACAGTGAAATCTTTTGTTTTGCAAAACAGTGCAAATTGTTACTTTTAAAGCTAGTCACACTGTCAAGTTAACTGTTCTTCCTTCTGGGTTGTACTGGACACTACATTTGTTGGGCTGATGGGTTGACTTCTTTTTTTTTTTTAAGTGGAATGGAAATTGTACTGAACTTGGGCAGAGGGGCTTATCTGGTTTTG